CTCCTCGCCACATATAACGTCATATCTTTAGAACTTTACTACTAATATTATAAATGCGAAAAATCGTGATGGATGTTTGCTAGAAGGTATCTTCAGAACGGTCGCATAGATCTCGCTCATCTATACATATAAATAAAATTGAAGTGTCTGTTTGTAATATTGAAACACCACAACAACATTTTTTTACAATTTTTGTCTGTCTGTCTGTTTATTTCGGCTAATCTGAAATGGCTAGGCCGATTTTGAAAGGACTTTTATTGGCAGTATCTGATATAATTTGACATAAATGTAGAACATAGTCTGGAAGAACACATAGGCTAATTAAGTTTTTTTTAAGTACGCGCGGACGGAGTCGCGAGCGACAGCTAGTATGATATATATTTATGTTGTAACATATTAATAGATATGCTATTTGCTTCTCATAACAGTTTTATTTTTCATCCAAAAATTAAATCTTGAAGCATCTCAAAGTAACTAACGCCATCTATATTCATTTAACAGAAAACATTTAAAATAATTGTCATAAGACAATTATTAAGCTATAAAGCTAGGTATATTTTTATTAGCAAAGGAATTAATTACCTTTTGTATTAATTTTATTTCATTGAAGTAAAATTTTTTGTGTCATATTATAAACGTTTTTTCACCCAAAGGTTTTTGGGTCGAGCGTTTTTATACCCTTTTTAGCACTTCAAACGAATTAATCAACGTCAAATACAATATTTATCTTTGTACGAAGACTAAAAATAAAATCTACATCAGAATAATTTCATTTCTTGTATCTGCTTTTGTATCCTTATATAATATTGATAAGCTTGGATACCTAGAATATTAAAAGACACGTTTTGTGTAACGCAATATTTTTTGTGGACCAAATACAAAATTGCAATCGTCATTCTTGTTTCCATTACGTGGAAATTGTGCAAAATCGATCAAAAAGTAACAATAAAAAATTGTCCGAATAAACACATTGCTCCGATATAAAATTGCAATTTCCCAAAAATTAATTGCATTATTACTAATGTTAACAACGTTTCCTGAGGTAAAAGAAAATAAGGTAAAAACTACAGTACTACAGCTGTAGACAAGTTTTTATGGACTATAAATTTATAAATTGTAAAGCTCTGGTTTTGCTAACTCTTTGTATTGTAAGTTATTGTGCAGAATCCGACACAAAATGTTTGAATGTTTTCCTGCAAATAGGAACACAGTTTACGAATAAAAATACAACTCTAAAAAAAAGAGCAAGCGGTCACCTGATGTCGCTAAAATAACGAAGTGACCTATAGGCACCTACAACAAGTTAGAATTTTGTCTACTTTTCCGTGGGTTTCTGAGTCGAAAATCTCCGTTTAAAACATAAAACTGTCTTTGTGTTGTCAAAGACAATGACCGGTATATGTTTGTATATAGAAATTTTGGATTCGGAAACCCACGATTAAATATACAGAGTATAATAGTAGTACAGAAAGAAATCTATCTTGATGTCTCCTCTATGTTATTAGATTTGAATTATTTCGGATTCGCATTACAAAATTCGTTTGTATTTTTCGAGCTCATACACATTTTTATGATATCAAAAATAGTTAAAATTATAACTGAAAAGATTTTACCTTTGTTGACAAATTTAATCAAGCGTAAAAGCAGTTAAATGTTGAAAAAAAGAGTCTTTTGACAAAGAAACTCATTTTAGTCGGCCGCAAGGATAAAATATTGAATCTGACGTTGATAAATTTCCGGAAAGCGTTGAAGGAAAAAGTATGAATGACAAAATATTCCCCAGCCGAAATACGAAATTTGGTCAAATCCTATTTCAGTTTTGCTTTACAGATTAATCCTATAATGTAACTATTTAGATTATATCTCTTTTTGTTATTTATTAACGATTTAATTAGTATTATTATTTAATTTGATTAGATTTGATAGAACCTATCAATAGGCCACCACTTTGAAATGTTAACTTAGGCTTTCCCGCTCGATTGATTGTGCTTGATTGTGATGATGTTTCCTATTGTCCTTACATAGACTTTCTTCTAATCGATCTATTTTAATGCTAAATGTTCAGTTGCATTTGTAGGCGATAAAACTATTACCCTGAAAACTCTTTGTAACAGAAATATTTCAACATTTTATTGTAGCTTATAATATTCACAAACGTATATAAAACGATAACATTCGAATTTATGAATGCAACGACAAAAGTTTTAACGTTTACAGCAATTTACGTCGGGTAGTTGTGCTACTAGCTGTCGCCCGCGACTCCGTCCGCGCGATGTTAAGGAAAACCTAGCCTAGCCTTGAAGCCTGTGTGTTCCAAGTTATGTTCTTCACCTATACCATTTTTCCAATACAGCGATATCCATGGAGCCCTTCTGGAGATACTTTCTAACAAACATTCATCCATCCATACATACATCCAAACGTTCACATATATAATATTAGTAAAATTTACTCTGTCATTTAATCCATAATGAGATTTAAATATTATTTTACATAATTAAGCGATTGGCGGCTTCATATTTTTAAAGATATCTGTGTTGTAATATAAAATTACGCTACTGTCAGTCCGAAAAATAACTTCCCCTAAGGAAAATTGTGAGGGGTCATGCATATATTTTATTTTCTCCCTTAGCATTTTAAACGTATTTATCAATGCCATTGCTAACATTTATCTCTTTACAACGAATGAAAGAAAACACTTTTTCTTAGATACGTTTACCGATAAACTTACGAAGAACTACAGTATTTTTAATTTGTTATTTTATTTTCTATTCAATCCAAATTATTGCACAAAAACAATAGAAAGATTTAAAAAAGACTTACTTAAAAATACCAAAGTTACTCGAACATAAATATTCCTGTTGTAAATTATTTCAAATAAGTCATAAATGAAGCTGAAACGAGACAAGAATGATTTTTCCTTTGTCAAAGAAACTCATTTTAGTTCCCCGCGAAGATAAATATTCAATCTGACATTGATAAATTCTTAGAGAGTGTTAAGAGAAAACAGTAAGAGTACTGGAAATACTTGGAAATGTACAGACTAGAATCTTCCGTCACGTTGTATTTGTTATTCATTTGCCTTCTTGTTTTATTAAGTGTTACGTCAACATATTCTTAGAAATAACTTACTTGTAGTAAAATGACTTTCCTCTATGTTTGAGGTTTGAATCAGAATACCTTTTGCATCGTAAAACTTCTGTAATTATTTATAGCTAGCGGTCGCCGGTGACTACGTCTGCGCAAAATAAAAATAAAAATAACTAGCCTATGTGTTCTTACAGACTATGCTCTATTTCTATGCCAAATATCATTGAGATTCATGCAACTTTGGAGATACCTTCAAACAAACATCCATTCATCCATACATCTAAACTTTCGCGTTTATAATATTAGTAAAAAGTAAGATAAGATAGTAAAACATGGATGAACGGGAGTCCAAGAGACCTCGTCATATTTCTAACTTATAATAATAATAATAATGAATCTTTTTATTCAGACACATGGTCCATACAAAGCAAAAAATACAAATTTAAGATTCAGACAAAAATAAAAACACAAAAACACAAAATAAAACAAAACTCTTCAGATTACATGCAGACGTGTCCACATTATAGAGGTTTCTCGCTTATATAGGTTCGACTGTATTTGCACTTTTATTAAATCGTATCGTCGTTCGGTCACTCAGTTTGTTATCACATTTAAAATAGTCAAACAATAATATAATCGTATATATATTTGTTATTTCGTGAAATTAAAACGAACACTACACCTGAATTTAGCTACATTATAATTCTTCTCTAACCATGAGTTTACACTGCTGTTATATCTTTACAAATACATTTTGTCGTCGTCGCTGCTTTTGTTTTTATCAAGACAAACAAGGTTCTTTATCCTTGTGAAATTAAATTCTGTCATATTTGATTGATCGTATAAAGAAAAGGAAATTAATCTGTTTCTTATCGCGTCTTTCAATAAATCCGAAAGGTATATTACATAATAAACTAGCTGTCGCCCGCGACTCCGTCCACGTGGGTATATAAAAAAACTTAATTAGTGTAGCCCATCCATCCATCCACATCACATCCATCTAAAAATTCGCATTTATAATATTAGTAAGTTAAATAAAAAGCAGTTCTTCAAGACATAAATTCTAAAAAAAAATAATAATAAATAGTATCCTATGTCCGTCTCCTGGCTCTCAACTACCTCCTCACCAATTTTCAGCCATATCGGTAAATCCGTTCTTGAGTTACAAATAGTGTAACTAACACGACTTTCTTTTATATATTACATAGATAGAAGATATATAAGATGTATTTAATATACATTAAAGTAAGTAATGATTTTGATAAGAAAGATACAAAGTAATATGACGTAATAAGTTATTATTACAATCTGTGCAATATTTTACCAACCCTAAAAAAAAACAAAGAGTAGAATGAATGTTTTTGCATAATTAAGAATTAAGCTTTCGAATCTTAGTCTAATCATTGTTAAAGATTGTAACAGTATTTTAAGTAATACAACGATATGAATCATATGAAAATAGGGGTTTGAAATGTGAAAAGTGCAAATAAAATGACGTTAATTTACTTTATATTGCCAAATTCTTATCATCTAATAAAACATATTATTAAAAACATTTTAATAACTATTGATTTAAGCTTTAGTTTTACGCAAATAAAATCATATTACATGTTATTGAACAGAACCTTGGCTTGAAGCCAGCGACGACCTATTAGTTTTAGATGTCTGCAAAGATTTTCAATTTACGGTACATTACGAAGATATTAATATAAACACAAAAACTGATATTACGTATTTATGGGAAAAAAAGCCATAAAAATATCCCATAACTATGTAATCTTCTTGGTTAAAAAATAACTCACGAATTAAAATATTATTTAGTAAAGAAATTAATTAAATAAAAAGGGCATAGAGATATAAATTATATTCAAGACAAACACTTATATGTATTGTTTAGTTTTGATGTGAGGATGAATGAACGCTTCTGCGATATTACAGGGTCATGATGAACATAGTAATTACGTTATTCCATAGAGACGAAGTCGCGGACGACAGCTAGAACTTAATATTTTTATTGTATTTCTCCCAACATGATTGTATATTTTTTTTCGCAGATGCATTAATGGGCAAGATGTGAAGACAACTGTCATGGAATCGTCAGATTGCTACAATTGCAGTCTTTTAGATATAAATAAAACATTCTACACAAACTTCACTAGAAATGGCACTACTATCAACAAATTCTATTTCTACCAGGTAAGACAGCGGAATTACACCTAAGAGAGAACTTACAGTATTTAGTAAAGATCTCTACAATCTGACTCTGTTTATTTCGGCCGTCATTGTAAATAACACCCATGCAAGACATCGCAAAAGTTTTGTAATGTAGCAGAAGATGAATAAAGGCCGTTATTTAACGAAACATTTTGCAATTAAGGTTTGAAGCGCTTCAAAATGTTTTAAAGCGCTTATTATTTACAATAAAAATATATCATTTGTGCTAAGTCTGTGCTAATCTTATGATGGTCTGATGTAAATATTTATTCAAACAAAAATAGAACCGATACGATTATGACAGATTCTCTCTTTTGCTATGTACAGTCAACTGCTTAAATATTAATACATTTACAAAACATTACATTCTTGTACAGATCTCGGTTTCAAAATGTATGTAAGTATCCATCAATATCATGTATTAATGGTCGGGAGGATACGAGAAGCAACGTGAATACATTATTTTTAAACCGTAGGCTTGTACAGGTTTCTTAATCTATATTAATGTATACATATTTATGCAGCTGACTGTACTTTGTTCTAGCGAAACAATTACAAGCATAGTAATGTTAAGATAGTTTCTTGTACAACCCTAATTGTAATCTATGTTTTAGAATTTATGTTATTAAATATAACACTTCGTTAGCAGGGTCGAGAACAGGATCGTTAACAATTACTTAAGCACTTTAAGTGCTCAAGTTGTAATGACGGCAAAGTACCATAGTAATAAAGTTGCATCACTCACAAATAGCTCTGATTATGCCGACACTGGGTGTTAGGGTACGAGTTAATTGCTCAAGAGAATGTCCCTTCTGAAGTATGGGTCTAGACACCTATTCTGTATTCTAATCTCATTTAAAATATGGCGCATTCAATGAATGCAATTCGAGATGTTTTGTCTTTTATATTTTCTAATACCCTGAGTAAGATATGAGTAGTATTCTTAGTATTAAAAGATTTCTAGTCTGACATTTCTGCTAATAGACAATACGTGTCATTACACACTTTAAAATTTGAAACTTCAGATTAAGTCTATTTGCTAGCAAAAAAGCAAGATAAATATTGGTGTGTGTGTGTGTGTGTGAGCGTGTAATGTATTTATCGGTTTTTGGTTTGATACCTAAGAAATGTTCATCGGTTTTCGTCCATATAATATTTTATGTAATAAAAATTACTTATTAATAAAATTAAATCGCTTTATCGTTTTTACTTGCGCCAGAGAATAATTAGTGGTACTACATTATTTAAATTCTTTGTCCCCTTCAAGAACACTATTAAGTGTCTCATTTAAAAGGATTGGAGCGTAACATTTTGCACGACATTTTGTGGGACCGTTTATAAAAATATTTAAAACATTTTACTACACTCTTAAAGGTTAAATGGTAACTTAAATGTTGAACTAAAAAGTCAAGAGCATTAGGATAAACTTATTTAATAATAACACTTAAACAAAGCATAAAAGCATATTCTATGCGTGTTAGAGGCTTAATAATAGTCCTTTTTCCATTCTCATCCTTTTCGTATAAGGAAAGGATGGGGAAGGGAAGTGGATTTGTCTGAGGTGGGGACGCATATGAAAGAGAAATATTATCTTTATGTGCGTCCCCTCTTCCGTCGATTAAAGGTACTCCTCTGGAATTGCGGATGCCTATGGACAGCGGCTATTTGCCAGTATTACAGCGCTTCTCATACTGGGCCAGACGTTAGTGGTACTGTATTTGTTTTTATTGTCAGACCGCACAGTTGGCAGTACTGTGGGTGCTGCTGGTGGCGATCGTGGCGGGTAATGCCACCGTGGTGTTGGCACTACTGCTCACCAAGTCCAGAAAAAGTCGGATGAACTTCTTTATCATGCAGCTTGCGATAGCCGGTAATATTAAGTACTAATTGAAATGCTTTTTTTTTTCTTCTTCAAAATGTATGAAAATCATTTTTTTTTACAGATTTATGGGTAGGATTGATAAGTGTTCTGCCAGATTTAATTCAAAGGATAACCATATCTTGGTTTGCCGGATCCATAGCCTGCAAATTGATGAAATATTTACAGGTTTGTTAATACATCAAACACAAAAAGGAGTAAAATTATATTGAAATATAAAGATATTACAATTGACAAAATAAAATTTTAAACCACTAGAAATAAAAAAACCCATCCTGTATTTTAATTCGTCAAAATGACGACGAAATATTTTTCACTCAAACGAGAAACATGAAATCAGAGCTTTTTTTTAAATTAAAAAATAAGTGAGCTAAAATTGGAACATTGTTACAGGGTGTAGTTACATATTCCTCTACATACGTATTGGTCGCACTCAGCGTTGACCGATGCGACGCTATAACGCATCCAATGAACTTTACGGGAAGCTGTGAGTACAATTTTATTTTATAACTTTAAAACAAACAAAGACGTTAAATTATATTACTAAAGTTTGATTTAAGACAATCTTCAGTTATTGACTTTGTTACATTACTGAAATAAATTGAATTGGGTTATTGCATAAACTTTGTATTGATTTATAACTTCAAAGTACTTTTTAGGATATTGTACTTTCAGATAAGTACCTTTTTAGATTTGCTTATGGTCTTGATTTAGGAAAAAGAAGGAAGACAAATTGTGCTAAGGGGGTTAATTTTTTTTTTCAAAACATTCATTTTAATGTGAAACGTTTTCCAGGGCGTCGCGCTAGAGCACTTATTCTAGGCGCTTGGCTAGTCAGTTTTCTATTCTGTACTCCAATGCTATTTCTTTTTGACGAAGCAGATATTGAAGGTAAGCAAACTTAATAAAGATGCTAATATTTTATTTATAGAAAACGAGTTATATAAAGGTTAACTAAACATCTAAGTCCAAACAATTTCAATATAACACAACTATGAGAACAAAGTTGCGGGCAACTAATAGTATGTTGTCGTAGAATTTTAATGCCTTAAAACTTGCACTAGTTTGTATAGCTGTCTCTATTTTGTCAAACAGAATGAAAGGGATGACAATACACGTCTCATAGTAGTGGTAAAACGAACATGTTCCTGTAGAACTCCATAGCCATGCGAACGAAGTTGATGGCCTTATCTAGTGTGTGATATACGTATGCAGGTACACTTCAATGTTGGTCGAGCATAAACGAGGTACAGTGGCAAATTTGGATGACGAGTGTATTCGTCTCCCTGTTCGTAGCACCAGCGCTTACGATATCCGCCTGCTACGGCGTCATCGTAGTCACAATACGACAGAAGAGTAGACGTGTGTTGGGTAAAAGAGCCGCCGCTACTAGGCAATGTAAGTATGCTAGTTATATTAATAGACAATGTAGGATTCACTCAAGGTTATTACTAACTATTCAATGATTACAAAACTGTGTTTACGCCTAAGTAACTCGACTCGGTAAAGAAACAAAAGAGTTTCACTAACAAAGTAAGTCCTTAAAAGTAAAGTAGTTCCTAAAGAGCAAATCTGAAATGAGAAGATTCGTAACAAATTCGTTGCTATTGCGTAGCAGATTCGTAGTAAATTAATCGAAACGTGACTTGACTTAGAATTTTTTTGAAAGATTGAGTAATTTTTTCCCCTGGTTTATTTTATGAGTTTAATATTTACAAAAGACGTATTAATAGACGTAAGTGCAATATAAATTAAGTACAAACCACTAATTTTATATGTTATTTTGCAGACAGCGATGATTTGGACAGCCGCCGCGCGAGCAGTCGCGGTATTATACCAAAAGCGAAAATAAAAACCGTCAAGATGACTTTTGTTATTGTTTTTGGTAAGTATATAGTGCCTTCATTAAAAAGTTTCTTTACATTTTAATAAATCGCCTTTCTATCATCATGTATAGTTCATCTTAAAACCAGGATTTTAAACATCCTGTATAACAATGAGTAGCTACATCAATACATTCCATATTTAATTGTCGTAGTGTTCGTGCTGTGCTGGTCACCGTACATGATCTTCGACTTGCTGCAAGTGTACGGCTATGTGCCTGCCACGCAGGCCAACATCGCCGTCGCCTCGCTCATCCAGAGCCTTGCGCCCCTCAACTCCGCCGCCAACCCTGTTATATATTTCATATTCTCTAACAGGATATTCGTTAGCCTCAGGTAAATATTGTATCACGTTATATAACAAATCTATATACTTCCAAAAGAATCACCTTTTCGCCTTAAGCGACAATGGGGACACTACAAAATGGGTAACGATGAAGGCCAAAAATATTAGTCTAATTCTTTTGATGTTTGACTCTACGCTAGCACATTACACAAGTTATTGTGAAATAATTATGACATTGTTTTAAGTACATAATTATATATAATACGAGTGGAACGTTCTAGAAACATTCCGCCGTACAAATGGTTTTGGTGCTGGATGAAGAACACCGGCAGTCCTGCGGGCAATGAGTCACGTGCGCACACAGAACTGCTGACGTCATCGCATAGGAGAACAAGACATGAGCTCACCATCAGGGTATGTTACAAAAGAGAAAGAAATGCATTACCTTTGTGCAAAAAAAAATATAGAAGATAGAACTTTGATTACAAATTCATTGTATTATTTCGAAAGGATATATTTAAAGATTGGCTTGCAGCTATTGTTAACTGTTCTATTACTGTTGATGCAAGTTTTAAAGATAAATTTATCTTACAACTTTTACATCGTGGTTGCAAGCGCATATAAATCTCGAAGGATGACATTGTGACGCAAATGTGCGCGGTGGTTCATATCTCGTCGATCATATGAGTGCAGTGCTCTCTGCATGCACTGCTTGATATGCAAATTTAACTCTGACATATATTTTGTATTCTTATATCTATTATTAGATTGACCTTTTGTATCTGTGTTACAGAGATTTTTGTAATACATTGTCAAATGGTAATCTTTAGATATTGACATCGAACCCTCCAACCGTTGGTTTTTGAGACCAAAGTCTCTGTACAAAATATATCGTCATCCCTGTCATTATCTTTGATGAAATACAGTGAACAGTGTTTTAAACGGGGATTTTGATTTCAGAACCCCATAGTTATATGACTAAGTTTGTTAATAACGAACAAATAACTAAAAATTAACTTTTATTAAACTTTTCCTCAAAATCTCTCAACATTTGTAATGTGTAACCACTATTACTTTTGCTCCTTCAATGAGTAGTATTTAATCCTTGAAATATTTCAACTTAATTTTCTTTTTCATAGCTAAAAGACGACAGTATAAAAGCTCCGAAGCAACGTATCCATCAATGCAACAGCAACTCTCGCAAGGTGCGTCTACACGTGCCCGATGGCGAAGCACAAACCAACAACAACAGCCAACCTGTCAGGGTAAGAGAGGATACGTTTCTTTAAGCAAGACAAAGTGTCGATAAATAGCTTGTTATTTTCAAGGTGACCTTTGGAAAATGACAGCAGATTTTGTATAGTTAAATTAAATATAATTTTTGTAAATATATTTAACGTCGTCTTAAAATTATGGATAAGCTTCGTATCTGTGAAAAGAAATGTATTTATTTACCACGTCCATGGACATTTTAACACGATTGACTGTCATAATGACCTACATCCACTCAGTTTTACAAATTCGTGCTTATTTTTTTAATGTATTCAATTGCTACAAAATTTTACACAACTATACTACATAACTTTTGTATTTCTTTTGCTTTTATTCACAGCATGTTAAATTAAGAAGACCAAGTGTTTTAGATATAAATATTAAATCGATGTTTTAAATGTAAGTCCAAAAATTATTAACAGGGTTTATCTTGATGTGACCCAATTTGTCTGTGTGTTCTTAATGTTATATATGTATTTATGTATGTAAATATTATACATATATGTTTAACCGTAATGTAATTTCATATACAATACAACAACACAAGTAAGGAAATTTCAAAAAAGTTAATCGACATCACAGGGGACCGAAGAGCTGGCAGCTACCTCGGACAAAGAATTAGTTTGGCTATTCAAAGAGGGAACGCTGCCAGTTTCTTCGGAACCTTGCCTAAAAAGGACTCCTTTTAATAACATATTTTAGTTAATTATTCGTTTTTAATATTTTATTTAATATCATAGATTTAAGAGTCTTCATGTAAAATATATAAATTTATTTTAATGATAATTAGATAAATAAAGCTGTTTATTCATCATCAGTTGACTATACAACCCCACCGAGGGGCTCGGAGCCTACCCTAAGTTAAGGGTGATTAGGCCATAGTCAACCACGCTGGCCAAGTGCGGGTTGGTTGACTTCACACATATCTTTGAATTTCTTCTCAGATATGTGCAGGTTGCATCACGATGTCTTTCTTCACCGTAAGAACGTCGTATAAATGTACATATGTAATCGAAAATCGAAAAACACATTGGCACATGGCGGGATTCGAACTCAGGACCTGCAGATTGCAAGTCAAGTGCTTGACCACTGAGCCACCGACGCTCCAAGCTGTTTATTAACACAAGTTAATTCACGTACATAAATGATATAAATGTATGAATCGGTAAATTTTTAATGTATTTCTAGAGAGTTGAATTTTTATTTCTAATAATTAAACATCAGCATGTATAAATGTAATGTTCATCTGTTTTTATCATTTTTTTTAATTAATTTTTATTTTATGATGTAAACCCGAATTATCATCTAGGTGTTTTAAAACAAATTACAGGGATTATTTAGAAAATGAAATATATAAGCTCTCTGTATTTTACATGAAAATAAATTGCTAATACCAAATATAGTTAATTACATTAA